GAAATGAACTTCTCGGGCATACTCTTCATAGAGAGGCAGTACCAGAGTTTATAGTGGTCAACTAAGTCGAAGGTCACTTTCAGATCGAGGAAGACAGGAATGGTGGGTTCACAAAAGGAATGTCGGTGTTCAAGAATTCGGTGAAGGGTGGATACAACCTCGACTAGGTGTCAGTATTCACAATATTCACGGTTAACGACGATATTGCGGCCGTTCCAGTTTGCGGGACCTGTGGGCACGATCGGTAACATACAACTGCTCTCCCGGGGTTTCTTCATAAATAAAAACCTTTTCGCCTGTCAGAGCACAAGAAGAAATAATTTCTAGGCTACTGTTTATAAAATTGCTTTTTTTTTAACTATTTAGGGTGACAGAAGTTTATCAACTGATCTAGATTTTTTCCGCTTTTCTACCTTGATCTGTTCTCAATGTTTGATTTGATAGTGATGACTTCGAGTGGTATTTTTTTGGTATACGAAACTTTTTCACCGGTAGTCGTATACTAAAGCGCATCCGAACGTGGTGAACCCCCGCTTTTTTATTGTTCTTTTATGAAATAACTTGAAATCGTGCGTCACGGTCACCCTCGGCTTCTTACACAGGGGACAGTCTGCTAATCTTTAATATCGCTTATTCATCCGTTACCTCACGTTTGATTGTGCCGCCCGTCTATTAACAGTTAATCGCCTAGGTGACTGCTTCATCTCTGAACCCGACTATATTTAGTGCTCATGTTTGTATTTCGGTTGAAGCCTGCTTACCATTCGGATCACGCAATAGATATGACTGGACTAATTCAGCGGTGACGACTGTACTTTGTTTTCATGCTAATTTTGTATCCTCTTTTCAGTTTCCTGATGGTCCCAGCACATCCCCGTTTGTGTTTATTTGTGACGATCCTCGGGAGGTGTTGGTTAAGTTTCCGGTATCCGGGAAACACAAAATATGTAAGTATAGTGCTCTTCATTGAGTTGAATTAACCATTTCCGATTTAGACAAACTGGATCCGTATCTGCGCAAAGCTGCCTCAAAAAACCTGGCCTGATTCCACACAACAGTGAAAAAAATTTCTTTGGCCTTGTCTTTCATAAAGTTTTCTGGGGACGATGATTTTTCGCTCCAATATCACTGATTTCCAGTGTGCCTCTGTGATCTTTGTTTTTCTGACATCCCCGGGTCGAATATTGCATCGTTCACTTCTAGTTATATATTGCTGTCATTGCCGAATCCGTACAGCTTGAGTTTCTGCAGTGCATTGTGCCACTAGACTTAATGCAGTCTCTTCGCAATAACGATTTAGAAATATAGGCGACGTAAATCTCTGCATACGATTACCCTTCACCAACATGTGGTGAGCAGATGACATTGTACTGCTAAATGAAGATCCAGGTAGGTTGCAAGCTTTTACTGGACAGTTTGACTGACTGCGTAGCCATGTTGGATATGCGTTTTACACTTCCAAAGCGTTAAATGTTGCTACAAAACTGATTTCGTCCAGCTCCAAGCCTCACTGTAACTGGGGAAGTAATTAAGCAAGTGGGGCGACCGAACAAAAAATGTCGACATTAGACGCAGTTTTAGGTAACCAGGAGGCTCGGTCATATAGATCGTGTTCGGCTTTCTGGCTAGGGAACTTGCGATTATCGTGGTCAATGGTTAGAGACGGACTGAAATGGCTGAGTGTCGCGGACGGTGGCGTTTGTGCACTTTCTCAATTTGTTTGTTACCTTAATCCACTGAAGTTGTCCATTTTCTCCTCAACTCCAATTTCAACTTTCATGTCTTCCTCCCATTGCTTCATTTAAATGAGCAGCCAAAACCGACTCACAAAAGTGCGTGGTTATTGGTTGAGCAAACTGAATTGCCTGCGGTGTATACAGACGTTGAAAAATCGGTTTGGAAAGGAAAATTGTGGTACTATTTTCTTTATTTGCTGGTCAACCTGTATTTGTGGAATGACAACTTTTAGACCCGTAGAATGAGTAACGTTCGGCTTTCATGTTTGAAGTGCATTGATTGAGCGAGCATCTGTCACGGAAAATCGCTGGAGTTACACTAGATTCCAGCCTTTCAATAAGCGATGATAACCCTACACAGATGCTTGTCGTTCAACCTTTGAGTTATTTGGATCACAGAAAAATTTCCGGCATTCCCCAGAAAAC